ATTCTCTCCTGGAGATCGTCTTCGTGAGCCTCTCATGATTTCAGGATAGTTGAAACCCTCCTGAACATTCAGAAAGAGTGAATATGAAATTCTAATCACGAAAGGTGTTCTGTGAAGCACGTCAATTCTCTCCTGGGGAGCGTCTTCGTGAGCCTCTTATGGTTTCAGGATAGTTCAAATCCTATGATGTTCCGATTGAATGCTCACCGATGATCTGAGCCATGGGGCAAGTTTGTTTTCCTAAGAATCTTTTTGAACATTTCGAGAGCACATGTTTGAACATTTAAAGTGCATATGAACATATATATTTACGAAAGGTCGCCTCCGAGGGGATAAATCACCATGTCGAACATTGCATTTTTGTTCCTGCCTCTCGCGTTCTCTTCTCTTCCCGCTGTCCTACCTTTCGTGTCTCCCTCCTCGCAAGTGGTTCTCAGAGAGAGGGTAAAAAGAAGCCTCTCGCTATATACAATCACTCTATGTTTGGACCCTTTGATAAGCTGTTTAGTTATGTCTTTCTGGCAATTTGCAAGCATTGTTGGATCTATTTTTCGACCCGCTTGAAATTGTACATTTCGAAGGGGGTCGAAAATAGAGTGATCATGCACAACAAACATCAATAAACTATACAATATGCATGACCGCGACAAGACTTAGAGATGAACGCAGCAAGAAGGGATGAACAAAATATGAGAAGTCTCTTTTGTTTTTTGTTTTTGGGGGACCCTGTTTTTAACTGTTTTGTTTTGTCATCTCAAAATTTGTGTGCAGTGTTGGGTCTGTTTGTCGGGCCCGTTGACATTGTACATTTTTGAGGGTGTCCACATTAGATCAATGCTCAGGCATTTTGTGCAATAAACTATGCAATTGCAACAAGCTGATGCATATGAAAGAAATATTAAGACACGGACTGTTGAGAGGAGTCCTTTGTTTGTCGTTCATGGATTTGTTGATGCAAATGATCAATGCGAAATACGGTCAGACACACATGATAAGCGAAAACCATGTGTTTTTCTATAGTTTCTCCCACTCCCACTCCTCTTCCAGACACACCTCTTGATGCAGGATACGCATTTTCGTTCCCAAAGGAATGCCCTAGCTAAATAAGTAAATAAATATATATTATATTATATATATATATAGTGAGTGAAATGCGCTAAGCTACTGACAGTATAACGCCTCAGCACCTTCGGTGCGGACGGACTTTGTAACAGCAGCATCGCTATGCGCAATCTTCAACATGCTCCTAATTCTATCCATCATGGGTTTGCGTCAAGTACCATCAGCCTTGATGGGCTGTTCATTGGCTTCCGGCTCTGATGATTTGCTGCCAAATTGTTTTGTGTAAACTGTAAACCTTCCAGTGCTCAGATGCCACTTAATTTGCTATTGGACACCTTTTCTAGTCAAGTGTTCAAGCAGATTTTGGTTCCATAGGCATGCTTCTCCAGTGAGTGACAATCTCGTCGAATCAGGTCTATAAAATCATCGACGAATCAAATGGATTTTACATTAACAAGGCGGTGTTGGAGTAGGGCTGGGCTTCCTGGTTGGTATTGGCATGGTCCTTGAACCGAGTGATGCCGCGATGATTTGTAGAAGTTCCGGCATCATGTTGCTATCAGGTAAGGCATCATGCACTGTAATTGAAGTATCAACAATGAGTGCAGGATTTGGCATTGTCGTTTGGGGGTCAGTGCCTGTTGCCGAAAAGACGCTTTGCGCAGGTCGCATCCGCTGTTCGCTCGCAGACCACGATTTGCTTCACCTTTGGCAGGGATGCAACAGTGCAGCGCCAGCCGCTAGTATGCAAGCGAGTTGATCGGTAGGATGCGTGGTGCTGTTGAGGCCACTTTCACAGCCCGGGACAAACATGCCACTAGACCAGACAAATGGTCTCATAGCGTTTCCCGGAGCCACACCAGAACACATGGCGTCCCATTGAAACTCGGAGAACAAGTCACACGTTAATGTGTTTTTGCAATTTATATATTATATAGGTCAAGTGATGAGCTATGCCTTTAATTGACGACCTGTCACTAAGGTGGACAGGTAGCATCACCGACACTGTGAAGCCTACAGATCTTGAAGAGGCTGAACAGATCAGACGAGCAAATTGGGTATCGAATCGATATGTATCTGTATCGATACACGTCGCCAGGTCAAAGTTCACTTTACAAGGTCATGTTGCTGTCATTATGAATCGTTTGCCATGTTCTTCTAAAAAGCAGAAAGCACGAATTGCAGGTTTGCTTTGAAGCCCATTGCCTTGACATTGCAGCAGATTTGCAGGGTTTTATGCGAGAAGCCAAACAGCGAAGAATGAATGGCCTTGCTGGTCACCCAGAGCCTTTGCAATATCCAGTGGGGAAGGGGGTGCGACATAGACATAATGACATAGTCCAGTCCCTGGCCGGGCATTCTGTAGCTGTCGGTGCTGTGGGCATGGTGGGAAGGAGGAGTTGCTGATGCGTGATGTGATGTTTGCCAATACCCAATGCAAGGCATACACAGAGGTTTGGTTTGGGTGTATCAAGTTCCAGTGAGTAGGCAACCATTGGTAAGTTCTCGGAGTCTGTAGTATCAACCACCACCAGCACACTCAACGGCAGCTAACCACCAACCACCAACGTCCACACATCACTCCCGCCAAACCAACATGTCGCACCCACCCACCTGACAAAACGGTATGTGCGAGGGATGTCGGTTTTTGATGAGCATGGCAAGGGAAGAGCAGCCAGCGATTCGCACCCTCTGACACTTCAGAAAGTTGTTTTGCAAAAGGCATTTGGTAGTTTAGCTCTTTTGCAAAGGAAGGTCCAATATTGCATAGCGGCTGGGAATGCAGTTTTTGTCAGACCCAACCACAAACAGGAGAAAGATCAACACATCAACACAAGTGCTCGCTTCTTTCTTTGCCACACTCTTTGGTACTTTGGCCGCAGCTGACGCCAAAAGCGGCCCACCAACTTCAAGAGCTAGAAGTCGAAGTAGGGAAGCACAACTTCCTCTGCTTGGATGGCGGATTGCAGACAACGCCCAACCATGCCTCATTTTGCTGCATCCTTAACATTGAAGATGAGCCCCACGCCGCACCAACCCGCCGCACCAACCGGTGTCAGGGATGCGGCTTGCCTTTCAAATCCTCGCCAGGGTCAAAAATCAAAAGCTCCAAAGTGGCAAGGCGCCTGCTTCAGCAACATCAGGGCTTCTTTGCTGCATTTGCGCGGCAGCTTGATCCAGCAATGCTCACACTTGATGCAGCCTGTCCAGAGCTTCCACAGATGCCCTTCCACTGCATCAGCAGTGGTGTCAGCCATCTCCTGCAGAGCTTCCTTCAAGGAGACTTCAGGTGTGCCTTTGCCTTCTTGTTGATGTCTTCATGAGTTGAGCAGGGATCCTCCGCTGCAGAGCTTGCACTTGACCCCATTCTGGTCGTTCCTCATGATTCATGCTCACCCACCTGCTCACCCGCCTGCGCCGTTGCCCGGGAAATGTCCACCCTGCCTTTGGTCTTACCCTGTTCTCCATCCACACGCTTTGCTGCCACTGGGCCATCTGGCTGGTTCATGACGTGGGTCGTGTCTTCAAGAAGAAGCTGCACCCTTGCTAGGGCGAGCTTTAGATTATTGATTATTTTGGCATTTTCCTCATCTGCCGCAGCCAACTCATCAATGGCTTCTAGAGGACATTCTTCTTGTGCCCTTGCCTTTGCCACAGCACTGGCCACCTGGTGCTGCCAAGCTTTGCTAGGGCCCCCTTTGATCTTGAGGCTTTTTACTGGCACATGCATGGCAGACCTTCAGACGTCGCCATTCTTCCAGACCCAGATTGTGCCATATATTCGCGACTTGTTCGGCACGGCCCTCCTTCCCAAGCATTTGCCAAGCTTCCTTGTGTGGGATGTTGACATATGGCTCTCATGAAGGCCTTCAAAGCTATCCAACAGCCTGTGACCCATGCTCGGACTTCAGCCTGATGCCGCCGGGCAACACAAGTGCAAGTGCCGTTGACAAGCCATGACAAGCCACTGCTCTTTGGACCACTGCCCAACCTGCACTGCCACCACAAGGCATTTTGCACCTCCAAATGAGGTGGACCAACGGTCAGAGGCTCCGAACACATTTGGGCAGACTAGCTCCTTCCCCCTGACCATGGGTACGCAGTGACCCTTGTGTCCATGCTTTGAGGGCCATAGCCTCCTGCTTGTTGCCCTTCTTGAGCTCCCAGTGGTAGTGAGACCAGTTCGGCGAAAGTGCTCAAAACTCCTCGCAGAAAGTCAGCCTCCTGATCATGTTTGCTCATTGAAGCTTCAGCTCCTTGTGAACAGCCTTCCCAAGGCCAGGGATGTTCAGGGTGAAGATCAACAAGAAGGAGCCGTCCCATGGGCCTGGTCACTGACAGTCCCGCGCATGTCATGTCTTGGAAGTATGCTTGCAAGGCTGCCATAGGTCCCAAGATCTTTCAAGTCATCAATCATGCTGATCATAAAGCACCAAGCTGGATCAGTGTGACGAAGACTTTGCGGTGCAATGCCCTGAGCCTCATTCCCGTAGCTCATTGCACTGTTTCCAGAGTCTCACCTTGACTGGTTTGCTGCCCGGCTTCAGTTTCATCCGTACCAAATCGTTTTTTGCCCTTGAGGATGCGCTTTTGGACTGTCCCAATCCTTCTCCTCCGGGCCCCACTCACTCAAGTCAAGGCCTAGATCTTTCATCAGATCTTGTACATGAGGATGGTCATCTGTCCTCCTTTGCTAAAGGCACCTTCTGACTTGAGCTGACGAGGCCAAGTAACCTGCCTTGTCAACCGGGACATCCAGGCCGGCCGTGTCCAGCAGCCTCTCAATGACCGTGTGGCCCTGAATAGCCTCCGCTGCTACCTGGTTGGCATCCTCTCGAATGAAGTCAAGACTGATATCATCAATCCATACATCCATGTTGACAAGAAGGAAGCCCTGACGAAACTCCAAGCACAGGTGCCAAGACCAATTTGGCAATCAAAGGGGCCGCCAAGATCCCCTTCTGGCAGAGCACAGGAGGGGAAACCACTTGCTCACCCTGAAGAATGCGTGCACCGCAGTAGCATTCCATCATGCTCATGACGATGGCAGGGAACTCATACTCTTTCCTATTGGTCAAACAGAGCTTCCCGGCTGACAGAAAATTTGCAGGTCCAACAAGAGGGACAGCTTCGCAGTGGCACGTCCAGCTTCAGATCTCAGTAACCTCATGAAGGGCACCTGGATGACATGGGTGCCCGGACACTGCCTTCCCGCGGAAGCATCTCCTGGACTTTGAGCTGCCAGCTGCTGATTCGTGGGCTTCTTTGGAAGGAGCACGACCAGAGTGGTGCTGACTTGGTCTGGTAGCCTGCCTTCGAGCTCCCAATTGCACATGAGCTGGCACAGCTGCAGCGCTGCTTCATGCAGGAGGTTCTTGATCATGGCGTAGGCCATCAGGCTCCCCGGCTTTTTGTGGCAGCTTTTTGAACAGCTTCCATGCTTTCTCAGGATCCAGATCGGGCCCTTCCCACTTTGCATGCTACTGCCTTTCCCTTTGGCCTGAACTGGGACATCACGGAAGGGACGTTTAAAACCAACATCAGTGCATCCGCATTGCTTTAACCTCCTCCAAAAGATCTTGAATCCAAGATGCCTGCTAGTTTGCTGGCAAAACGCTGCGCTGTTGTTCATGCCATCGATAGTGGAGGTCAGTCCACTTTAACCGAAGCAATCTGTTTGCTTTTGGCCGTGCTGTAGTGCTCCTGCTCCCCCAATGTGCTGGAGCAAGCTACCAAGCTTGAGATCTCGGGAGCGGCTTTGCATCTCTTCCGACAGCCAGCTGATCCAAGCCCTGCAAGGAGTACAATTCTGCCTGTTGGCAAAAGCTGCACGCTCCATCTCCTTTGCTCCAATGGGTCGATCGAGCCAGTAGGGTTGAGTGGCAGGTCCAAGCCTAGGCAAAAGTGTCGATCTGCGGAAGCAGGAGTGAGGGGCCTCCTTAGAAATCTCCAGCTTGAGCACTCCATGCCTCTTCCAGGGCACCTGCCAATCCACTGGGAGCTGTGCAAATGGTGCAAGATTTTCTTTTGTCTTGAGGTACTGGTAGATTCTGAAAGCCGCAACTGACCAGTTGGCCCTCTTGTAGGAAGCAATGCCCCATCCAGTCGAAGCTATGCAGTTGATAAGATGCATCCCCTTCTCAAGCAGAAAAGCTGGCTGGAGGCCATTGCTATTAGGTTGGAGGCCATCGCTCTTAGGTTGGAGGCCATCGCTAGTCTAATTTACAATCAAAAACGTCAACTCTCCTTTTAGCAGGTCGGAGGCGGAGGTCTCAAGGCTGGGAAGTGCATTAGCCTGTCACCTGGCCAGATGCAGTTGCTGCAAAGCTGTGTAAAAGGTTCCTCCTTTCAAATGGGTCTCCACAAAACAGCAGGCCTTTTGACGGTGTTGTTGAAGACAAGTGTGCACTTCCTTATTCTAGCTGGTGACGTTGGCACACAGAATCACAACCCCATCATTGAGAGACTGTCCCTTTTTTTGGCAACTTGACTGAAGTGCCCAATGGGTCCCTGCCAGAAAGTGCTGCTCTAATGTGGAGACTGCACCTCCGAATGTGGAAAGCCATATGTTCCGTGCCTTCAGCCAGGGGTTGCCCAAGTTCTTCAAATGCCCAGGCACTTAACAAAGCTTCTACTCCAATCATCCTTTTTCAAATTCATGTCCTATTGTCACGAAGATGGGCACAGCCTGATTGCTCCAAATGCGGTTGGCAAAGAGGCTCTCCCAAGTGCAGTGGAGCCCATCCGAGACATGGGAGACCTTTCAGCCAAATCCCACACCTAAACCTTGCTGAGGATTTCAGAGGCATCCTGTTGAGCCGTTGGATCCTCCATTTGATGAATCAGCGGCTCAAATTCCGAGGCCAAGAACGTGTCCTGCATTTCAGCTTGCTGCAGAAGCTGCAAGCAAAGCCTCGTGCTTTTGCCCCAGAAGCGCTCAGGGTTTGCGTGATCGCCGCCTCCCATCCAACACCATCTGAAGATGCAGTTGGCAAAACAGCGATTCTCCGGATTGTGAAATTTCAGTGTTAGATTGCTCGACCTGGGAGGGTACCATCGTTGGCGTCTGGCTTGGTAGCTGAACTCCCAAGTCAACTTGATGCATGACAATCTTCATCCTTTGAACCTGCTGTAGCATTTGCAGAGCCCACAGCTTGTTTCTGGGCCCTGGAAGCCGGAAGCCCCAGTTTTCCTAACAGGAAACTGTAGCTCCGTTGACCAGTTCAGCAAGATGCTGCACAAGAGGCAGCATCCTGGCCTGCAGCTGTGAAGGGCCCCAACTTCCATGTGGGTTCAGATCCTCTTCATTGTCCGCAGGCTGAGTTGTCTTCGCACCACCCGGCCCAACGTACTCTGAACTCACCAGGGCAGTGCCTGGGCCTGCCCGGGCCTGAAAGTGATCAGGGTTGGCATAGTCCTCATTTGTTTCATCCTCCTTCTCCAGGGGGATTGTCTCGGTTCCATTGGATTCCATTGTCTTGCCTGCCTAGACCGGCAAAAAAAGGTCTAGGTGAAATTATGTCTTGAGTCGGGCAGAGTTTGCTTCACGCTCTTGGACTTGATTGAGAAGGCGGATAGGAAAGTGGATTGCATAATTTTGAGGGGTGTTTGCAATGTGTCAGTTGCCTGTTTCTCTTGGCCAGTGCCAGTACGGTACCCCCTGTTGTCACAGTTTTCCTCGGATTTGTTTTGTTGCCTGGTTGTTTTTGGCCTTGTCGGTTACTCTCCTGCTTTTCCTAAATCAGTTGGGTTGCAACTTGCTTTGGCTACATCAGGGCAACCTTAGGAAAAGGCGAAAGATTGGTGCGCCATGAAGTGAACGCTGTGATGGCTACATGGGCTTTCCTAGTCTTTCATGCCACATAGATTCTACACACCTCTCTATCATATGCAGGCCAGTGGCTAAGGCCTTGCCGCCATATAGCCACTCGCCATAGGCCCAGGAGAAGCGACTCAAGATGCAAAAGTTGCATTTCAAGAGATGTCAAAATTATAATTGGAATATGATCGGGATCTGGGAACGGCGACTCGAAGTGCTGCTCCCAAAAAGTGCACGGCTGTGACCCAAAGCACCACTGCAAGTTCAAAGATCCTCCACCATTTGCCAGGTTCCAGTGATCACTGGCACTGCAAAAAGCATCGTCATCACAACTGTCCAAGAGGCACATGCCACACACCAGCGCACTCCCAAGTGGTCAGACTTGAAAACGCCTGCTGTGCAAAGCAGCGAAGCGCAAAGGACCCCATATCCACTCTAGGCTTATAGATTTGCTATGATCTGCTTGTTTTCCCGACTGTTTTCAGGCTCATCCCCCTGTTACCTTGCTTCGGGGCGTCACCAGAGGTCTTGCGCTGCTTCAGCAAGGTTTCTGCCAAATGGCGCTCCAGCTCCTTTTGCTGGTCTGAGGTGAAGATGATGCCTGCCTGTCCCATGGCCTTCAAGACATGTTCGGCTATATTAAAAGGCTCTATCTCCTCATCCTGAGCACCCTTGAACATGCTAGTCCAGCTCCTCTGCACGGGGGGGCTTCTTGCCTGCAGGTCCTGGAGGCGGCTCCACAGTATGCGCCCTTCCCTTTCCCTCGCGGCTCTGAGTATTGTTCACATGGTGTAGCCTTGCCATGGATCATTTGTTGGCCACGGTGTGCCACACTTGTCACATCCCCACCGCACCAGGGACACTTTGTCCTCCAGCTCCATGACGAGTGGCATCCATGGCACACAATGTATATTAATATAATTGCCTTCTTCCGCTAGTGACCAGTGACCTTCTTGAAGGAGCCCATGCCATCCCAGGATGTGGATGCCCTTGCTGTCCTCGTATGTTTCACATTCTTTCACCTGTTCTTTCACCTCAATGTAGCACGGGTGGGGAGCCAGTGCCGTCGAGGTCCGCAAAGTCACAGCCCAAACACGTTTTGAGCTCAAATCTTGAGCCAAGTAGGCAACCTTCTCTCTCTCTCTCTCTCGCTCTCCCCCCTTCCAGATACCAAAATCCGTTCGACGTTGAATCTTTATGAAGGAAACTGGCACAGGGAGAACGGCCACTGGAATTGATTATTCTTCTTCCAAATTCCGTTATTGAGCGTTTTTGTGAATACAGACGGGCGGAAGCTCAACTTGGAAAAGGAAGAGGGCGAACAGACGTGGACATTTTTCACATGGGCTCAAAAAGTGTGTTTAGCGGACTCAGGAATTCCTTTTCCAGTGGTCTATTCCCAACAGATTGCAAGTAAGGACACCAGTCAAGACGGGGCAATAAGGGGAAACGGTTTCTTTTCCCTAGCGGCATCCCCCAGCCCTTCTAAGTTACCGGGTGCCTCTCGTGACCAAGGTTCCACGTACAGTGCCCCGCATGGAAGCTTCATTTAAGATGTAGGCTTAGATTAGATTGGAGCAAAAAAGGATCGACACGGGCAGGCGGCTGGTCAGAGATCTTGGGTTGACTTTCCTTGAGGCTTTTGGAGGCATCCGGATTTGCCTATACAATGGCCTGCCAGATGAAGCTGTGGACGAGGTGCGGGCGTTGGCCAGTGAGCCAAGCCAAAGATGTTTGAGATTTTGGGTGAAGAACATCGCCCCAGCACTGAAGACCTTCTTGGAGTCCGCTCACGTTCCGAACAGTTCTCAGGTCCTCCGCCTCCTGCGGGACTTCGCTGTGGCAGAGTCAGGTGGCCTGGAAAAGATCTGCAACTGCAAGGCTGGGAGGGTCAAGTTGTGGCCAGGTACGAAACATTCACAGCAGTCTCAAACACTCTAATATAGATAGCTTTACGGTGGCTTACTACCTCTAGTGTCAGATAGTCGCGATGAAATGTGTTTGTTTTGTACATGCATGGTACAGATACACATGGTCTAATAGTCTATCTACATTTAGACAAGATCCCCATAAAGCAAGCTTCAAAGGTCACAAATGGACATAGGACATGTCTCGAGACTACGGTCCGCCCCATGCGAACAAATGTGCAATAAGTGAACGTCCCTAGGGTCTCACAAATGGCATAGCATTTTGGATGCACCCTTGGGGCAGCACCCTGCCACACGACTACGGCTTGGTGGAATGAAAGATGCCTGGAAAGGCGTCAACATCACTGTCTTTGGACAGCAGTTGCATGACCTCACGAAATGTCAGAATCAGAAGCTGCTCGTCTCCCTGAAATTAGTAGCCAGGGCCGCCAGGGCCACTGGCATGAAATAATGTCCGCTGCAAACTTACAGAAAGGTAATGATTCCGCTTCAGAACGCTTCCGTCTGAGCTGCCACAGGAAGTCGCAAATCATGCGCCAGTTTTCTTCTCCTACCCATGCAGAAGCTTCCACTTGAGGAGGTGGACGTGTGCTTGGCATTTTTTGGTCCCGATGGACGGACACTCTTTGGCATATTCCAGTGCCAATGGGGAAGCTTCTCCTGGCATTGGGCACTTGAGAGAGTGTGTCAGGAAACTTGCAGGTTGCGCTCACTGTCTCCTTCAACTTGGGAAGGAGAGAATGAAGCGCACCAACCATCGTTGATGCCTGAGTAGCCTTGCTTGATGTTGAACCTCAGAATCGACTGGAGAGATCCGATACGCAAATTCCTTGCGGCTGCATCAACAAGCGAGGCAAGCTGTTTCGTGAGCACATGAGGTAGTATATGTCCAAGGCGGTGTGCCGGAATCCGGTCTACGCGAAATGGCCGCGGGTGAAAGGATAGTCTTTATACTTCCAGTGAGGCTCGACTTTGCCAGTTTCAAACAGCTGCTTAAGCCTGCTTAACAACGGACAAACGGTCGCAAAAAACATGCAAAAACCATGAATATACGACTTGGGGCGAAATCGTGCAAAGATGAGCAGCGTTTTGTGACATATAGGCCCAATGATTGATCCGCCCTTTGTGAATGATGTTGCACTGTTCAAGGTTGCTGTTACCAGAAATATTCTTCAGAAATCACAGATCCATCCTGTCCAAAGTCTCGTGGATATATTTGGATCAACATGCTGAGCTGGCCGGAGGTCAGAAATGGTTTGCTGCGGCAACCATCCTCTTGCCACAAACAGGGCCTGTTCCACATGACTCATCATTAGAAAATTGGGCCAAGTTCGTGCTGCACAGGTTTGCAAATCTGTAGTGTATGCAGTGCTTCACTCTCATTGGTGAAGTGGGGCACGAACTCCTTAGCATTGCCACAAATCTGCAATTGGATGATGCAGCCTACCCTGTTCCAGCCATCCGTTTTTGGTCAAGGTGCATTCAACAAGGATGGTAATCTCGTAGTCTCATACTGTAGTCGGTTGTTTCTTTTGGAAATCGAAGTGGGGAAGCAACATTGAAAGAACATTTCCCTGATTTTTTCTATTGTCTTGGAGTTTGAAACACTTGGCACCAGGATGTGTATGCAAATTTTGAGACGGTTGTGAAATAGTGCTCCAAAAACAATTCTTGAAAAAATCAAGAACGACCCGTGTTTTCATGGACTCATGGACGCCAAGCCGCATAGAGCTAAACCATAACTATATAAACCCACATTGGCCTTTGCTTACACCACAATCATTGAAGTGGTTTCCTCTTGTCACTCCTACAGTACACTTCACTTGTCCCGAGACTTTGGTGCGACAATAGCAGCCGATGGAAATCTGCTAGCAAGCCGACTTCAAGCAGCGTGTGATACGCTTCGTTTAGAACTGCACGCCGGGCCAAAGGTCTCATTTCAGCGCTCACAGCCTGTACCTGTACCTTTGAATTTTGCCCGCATGACCAGAGCGTTGCAAGCCATCAGATGCATGCTACAACCTTGCAAAACCAACCCCTCGTAAGGAGTTTTGCAAACCAACTGCAGTCTTCGATCTAGTTCATTGTAGTTCATTCCAGGGTGGATTGCAAGGTGTTGCTCCACATAGCGGATTTGTCAACATTGATGATCCCATATCTCCGTAACTTTAAAGGCAGCATCAAGGATATGAATAGTGATATGAATATTGAGTTGATTATTGGCCAAGCGCCAAGCGACCATCAATATTATATATACACACGCACAGACCACACAGCCAGGCAATTGCTCCAACAAATGGACCTTGCGCTGCTGCAACTCACTCCACTTCCAAACTGTCACTTCCGTGCAGTCGGCAAAATTTTGTTTACAACTAGGTTGGCAGGTTTGGGCACGTTTCGAAGACATGACACATCAAGCCGAACGCATCCGCATCCATTGCTTGGCCCTAGCACAAGGATCACACGTCATGATGGCTTGGGTCCCGACCTACCCCAACCTCGTGCACCCTTCGAGGGCTTCACACTTGAAAAAACATTCTCAGCCGGAAACCCTTCTCTTCAAACATGAATGGTCCTCAGTCCACCCGGTCCACTCACCGATCTCCAGAGAATGAGTAGAAATTGCATCAACTTCGGTGCAACACTAGCAACGCCTTCTCACTCCAGGAAGACAAGAACCGACTTCTGACCAACTGGGCCTTTGCTCGCCTTAGCCAAAGGCTAATCTCCTGGAGAGGGCGATGGAGAGAAAGAGAGAGACTTCAGACCAACTATAAAAATGGAAGAGAAGACGAGTCCAGCCAAGAAGTCACTGTTGAATACCTTTGACCTTTGGCATTTTTTGTGGCACAAAACAGGGCCAATGTCTTGCCCTAGGACGAAGAAAAGCAGAGGAAGGATATTGTCTCAAGAAGAAAACTGCGCAAAAACGTGCTGCTACTGTACACATGCTTCTCAACACCTCCCCATCAAAGCACATCCATTTAAAAAGACGATCTCACCATACAAATGTGGCCACGTTGAATATTAAAGCCACGCCTTCGCAGCGCCACCTTGAAACATGAATAATCATATTGTTGACCCACACTTGTTGACCCATAAAGGCAGAAGCAGAAATGGTTTAATTGCCCGAATTGGGGTTTATTGGAAGCTGGTCAGAGGTTAGGGTGAATAATACATCAGGGAGATGAGGAGCCTTCATTCTGCCCTATGGCCAGGTAATTACTTGCCTGGACACCTGTTCAAGAAGCATCAAGGCAATCAAGGAGGCCGCTGGGGCGGGTCCGGGCAGAGGGTGGCTGCCAACGCGTCAAGCTTGGTGCAGAATCATATGTGAAGGAGCTAACTTCAGGAATGAGGGTTTACAGACCTATGGACTTTGTTTGAACCGTGATGAACCTTAACCCGATGGGGGGAAGCTACAACCAGCGACAACCATCGCCTATGTGTTGTGGGTTTGTTGGGGCAACAACATGTAGGTTTAATCATCGAGTGCCCCAGTCCAGAGCAGAAACTCTATGCTGTGTGCTGCAGGCTCAACATGCATTGCAATATGTAATAATTTGCCAGAAAGCATTGGCATTGACATTTTGCGCGCTGTTGTTTCCACAGGGCCACAAGATAATCTGCTTTGAGAAAAACCCGGCCCAAGGGTGAAGCAAACAAGGTAGTTTACATATCAATATCCGCACAAGGGTGCACCACACACCAGGGGTTGACCTTTGCTTGCGCGATCATTACCAAACATGTGCCCACTCCCTGCAAAGCGACAAATCGAACATTAAAAACCACATGTTTATGCATAATGGTTGTCGCCAATGAAGATCAGATCATTGACATGAGTCGCAACATGAGGAACACCCGACAGCAAGTCCGACGAGAAGCTGTTTGGAGCACAACTTGCGGCCGATGCCAGTCCTTTGATCAAAGCCTCAAAGCCTTGGTGCTGCAGGGCGCCTAGCTCGGTCGTCGGCCCTGATTATGTGGAAGCAAATGGCTTTGTTTCGGCCGTAATTTTCTCAAAAGTCACAAGTGCCCCTTTGCTCATCATACTGATAGCAAGGACGCTACTAGTAACAGGGGCATTACTACTAGTAGCAAGGTGCCTTGCTACTAGTGTCATCCCACCTGAAAGGCTACGCCGCAACTTGCGATGGACATGAGTGCAGTGAGCAAGTGGTTTGACTTGCGGCTAGAGCAATCTTCAAAGGGCTCCGGAGCCGCGCTGCTTTGTTACAAGGAATGCGCCTCCAATATCATCATACCGTACACATTGAGTAACGAGGTACTCAAAGTGTAGTTTCTTCACCTTTGGTAGCCGTTGACGTTGTTCAAATTCAAATGCCCTCGCTGCAGCAGCGAGGGACGTTTGGGCAGACTGGTAACTACCGCCATGGACCGATGATGAAGGATACGAGGGCGGATTTCGGATACCCAGACCATCACCGAGCAATCCTTTTGGCTACTGACTTCTGTAACGAAGTGCGCAGCATTCATGTCCTTTGTGCTCTGCTTGCATGCCTGAGTTCTGCAGTGAGGATGGCAGCTTGATCTACAAGTCTACTACTGCTGTGATTTGTTCTTGTGAACACTTTGGCAACCACTCAATCTGGGGGGCCTTTCTTGCACAGAAGTTCCACAAGCACTTAGCAGCTTAGCAGGCAATGGCAGGCAGTCTAGCCCCACACAGATGCTCATTGAAAGGGTGTTGCCCTTCCAGGGCTATGCAACTCTAGGAGGCAGCCAAGTTAATAACGGTAAAATTGAAGTTTGGAGGCCATCGCTAGTAGGTTGGAGGCCATCGCCATTAATTGATGTTTGGGCTCGTTGTTATTTTCCATTCTTTGCGTCGCTCTTTGAGAGTGCAGCCATGTCATGTGCAACCAGTAGGGTGGGGTACTTCTGACGGGAGATGCTATTTATATAGAGCATTATAGACTATAGAGCTCAAATTCCATCACGAAGGCTGCAGGCAGCCATGAGATACTGCAGGAAGGTCCAAAACCAATCAGAATAATGTTGCCGTAATCTGTCAATCATATTCGATGTGTACTTGTATACAACGTACGCCTTCCAAATTGCTTGTTTGGCCTTGGATTTTGAAAGGGCAAACGCTGGATGAAGACTGGTTGGCTGATCGTGTTTGCAAACAATCTTGTTTGCCTAACAAACACTACCAGAAGACTCTCGAATGTCTCATTTTATAGGCAGGGTTGAAGTGTCACAACTCACATGTGTTCCGTGGGCAAGGCATGTTCTCAAGTTGCCACCTTTCATTTTCCCAGCAGCGGTGCTCAATTGCACCCTCGGACCAACAAAAGGGCCAGCATCCTGAGTGACGAGGAGAGAGCATTGCACCTAGCCCAAACCCTTTGTTGGCAGGGTGCTCTATTTCTCAGAGAAATCTTTGAAGTCCACTTGAGCCTGCTGCAATTGGCAGAGCTGTTGTGATTTTCAGATGTCTTCAATTTTGACTGCGGAGTTGGTGCTTTTGACAAGTTGCTTGGAGCTCTTTTGCTACTTTGGTCTCGGTCCAGGCATGAAAGGACAAAACACAAAACACGACCATGCAAATGTTGCTTTTTGGTTCTTCTACCACTGAGAAAGCGCCTACCCTAGTGCCAGAAACTGCTGGCGTGCACAAGATTCCCAAGACGGCAGACAGCTTGCCCCGTTGTGGCACAGGATGCCAGCCGTGGAGTGCTTGGCCATGGCCTACGATTTGGTGTCAAATAGGCTTCGAGCAAACCTTTTGAAGCCAACTCCTGCACCGACAATCTGTTCAATCAACAAATACTTGTCTGAAGCGGATTCACGACACCAGGTCACTATGTTTGGTCATCACTGTGGTTGTGCGAGTGTCGGAACTGACACTTGCACTTCACACACCTCCAAAAACTGTGAGGGCGCAGAGAGATGGCAAAAACAAACTGAACATGGATGTTTGTTTGGGCCACGATGCAAGTTCAAGAGCAATTACTAACCTTAACTTATTCTTTGCGAGTTGTCGCGAAGTATTTCAAGGTCGAGTTTTTTGCACCAGTGCAACATCTTGCTGTCTTTGTTGCACCTTGTGGGTCTTGAACACGTCGTTTTATGCACTTCCAATACTGTGACTGTTGAAGCGACATTGAATTGAGACGCAGGAGACGGTGTTCCTTGCGGGCTGTTTTACATGTTTCCTTGAGGAATGCAATTGTATTTTTCAATTTTGCCAATAGCAGATGTGTGAAACGGTTGCACAGCTTGTGTGTGAGGAAGTTGGAAGCACCTTAAACTTGCAGAAGTGTTGCAGGTGAGGTTTGGGGTGCGCGACGCATGTGAACCACCTGCATGCGTGCATTGTTAATAGCCCTCCTTCTTAGCATGGTTTGACATACCATTATTCTAAAGCATCCTTCAACACTTTGTACGTTTTCCCACTCATGGTTTGTGATGTTGTTTTGTCGCAGTGCTACCAACACCCGCCAAGATTGACATGGAACCTGCAAATGGACCCTGGGAAGACGAATTTCCTCTATAACCCTGTGGTTTTCGAGTTACATATTAATCTTCCAGGACGTACCTCCTTATCCGCCTCCTTTGCTATCTACCCATTGGTATTTGCATATTTGATCATATTTGTATAGATATATTTTCACTGTTCTATACAAATATAATGATACAATAGTTGTTACATTTTATTGAGATATTACAATGTTTTGTAACATATTAGTTCGATAATTACGTATAGATATTGATATTTATGGATCGTATATCTATATAATATAAGTTACATTTTACAGTCATGTGTGATTGTGTATGATTTATCGTTTTGTTTAGATGTTCTTGTTTTGTTTGGATTAGTGGATTAGTTGAGAAGCTCAATTTTCAGATCAGATATGTAGCCTTTTCTCCGGCCGAGAACGTTATTGTGTTGCTGGCAATTCAATTTTGCCAATAGCGGAAAATTGAATTGTGTCTTGCAGAGCCTTACACTTACTTCTGCTTAGGTGATTTTGTTTTTGATTTGTCGGATGCGTTCGTTTTATGTATATTGATTGGTCTATTTGATTTGTATTAGAACTTTGCGTTGGAGAAAACCCGGTCTTAAGTCTGGGAATATGGAGGTTCTATATTAAATAGGGCACCACGCTTGCGCGAGGATTGTTTTTTTCGTCCTCGAAGAAAGGTATAAATGATATATGTTTGTAAAATTTATTTGATTTATTACGAAAGCTAGCATACTAGCTGAGTTCTTCTTTGCTTTAGCAATGTTGTGGTGGGAGGGGCTGCGTGCCTTAAAGATTGATATATCAAGCTAACCCCCCCCGCGGTTCAACTCCCAGCTGCGCCGTGTAGGGGGTTGGTTGAACGTGTGAACGTGGTTGGTTGGGTGTAACGGTGGCTTGGTGTAAAGGGTGCTGCTGCTGCTGCCGCTCTGCTGCTTGCTGCTGCTGTTTGCTGCTGCCGCTGGTTGCCGCTTTTGTAGCTGCTGCTTTGCCCGCTGGTTGCCGCTTTTGTAGCTGCTGCTTTGCTACTTGTTGCGGCTTGGTGCTGCTGCTGCTGTTGCTGACGACGCCGCTGCTACTGCTGCTTGCTGCTGCTGCTTGCTGCTTGCTGCCGGTGGTGCTGCTGCTGCTGCGGCTTGATGCTGCGCTGCTGCTGCGTGGTGCTGCTGGCTGGCTGCTGGTTGGTGGTTGTTGCTGGCTGCTGGCTGCAGGCGGCCGTTGCGGCTGCTGCTGCTGCTGGCTGCTGCTTGCTGCATAGGACTTGTATTTCACCGTTATAAGTTGTTTACCCCTATTTCTAGCGCAAGGCATACATAAGCGGGGGGTAAATTTACCCCCCTAGGCTTGTTATAACCATACACCGGCTATTTCCTCAAGACATTTTATTCTTGATATCTTTTACTAGTGCTTATCCTACACTACGGACGCCCTAGTGTATGCACAGTCCTTATGATGCTTACCCCTCGTTCCGGCTTAAGGCATATATAAGCGGGGGGTAAATTTACCCCCCAGATTTGCCATAATCATAAGCCGGCTATTTCCTCAAGACACTCTACTCCTTCTACCTTTTACCCGTGTTTATCTTACACTACGGACGCCCTAGTGTATGCACAGTCCTTGTGATGCCAGAAATGCTTACCCCTCTTTCCAGCGCAAGGCATACATAAGCGGGGGGTAAATTTACCTCCCAGATTTGCAATAACCATACACCGGCTATTTCCTCAAGATACTCTATTCCATATACCTTTTACCCGTGCTTCTCCTACACTACGGACGTCCTAGTGTATGTATAGTCCGTATGATGTTAGAAATGCTTATCCCTCTTTCCGACTTAAGGCATACAAAAGCGGAGGGTAAATTTACCCCCCTAGATTTGCCGATCACGCATCTTCGTGCCTGCTAACGAGTGCACCCGGGTTGTTCCAATGTACCCTTCCCAGTTAGCGATGTCATATTTACATTCTTTAGCGCAAAGTATGTATATAGCAACCTTCCTCCCAAAATATGTCATCCTTACATGCTTTGCCGACTATATAACTAGTACATCCGGTGCGATTCGGCTAGCTTTCGACTTCTCCCGAGATTTGGATTTCGTTTGCTTTATTAAATGCAATTTTTAAATACATAAGGATTAAAAGATTATAAACGTGTATATTTTTAATTTAATATTGGAAGTTCGAATGAGGTTGTTTTAATTGGGGGAATTAATTTATTATAATTATATATATATTAATAAAACAAATATTTAATATTATTTACATTGATTTCTATATTATAAATATAAAATAAAATGGATTTTACGGTCGAAAATTTATATATATTTAAATGATATTTTTATACGACACTTTTGTGGGATATTTTTCTGGAATATTTTTATAGGATATTTTTATGGATATTTTTTACGGGACGTTTTTGTAAAATACTTTTGTGGAATATTTTTGTAGGAAATTCTTATGGAATATTTTTCTAATTCCCTAGATATTTTATATATTAAAATTGTATTACAAGATTGTTAGTATTTGGTTTCTGTTTTATAGATTGCTCCGCGTACTAATATTATATTATGAAATCGTTGATTTTTAATTTTTAGCTCCATAAATTGCTTCGTATTTTAAATATATTTTATTAAATTACCGATTTTTATTTTTTAGTTCCCTAGATGTTCCGCACACTAAAGTCGCTAGGATTCGCCTGCATTTCGCGTGTTCGACACGTGCCATCTCCGCAGAGGCTTGCGGTGGTACCGGACAAATCGCATTCTCGCCTGC